AACAATGGAATGTTATCAAAATGCAAGTTTTAAACTGCAAGTGTTCAACTTCTAAACAAGTTGTTAGTTGTAAACTAGACCGATCAATTACAGTAAATCACTCTTTGAGAACGTCTAGATTTTTTTTTTTTAGATAAAGGCTGCTGTCGTTTAGATGGAGAGCTGTGCTGCCTCCTTAACTGAAGGCTTCAAGGCACTGAGGTCTCGCAGGAGAGAGGACACCCCCACGCAATACCACAGATCCCCAGCGCGGTCTGCGGGAGCGCTGAAGGACTCAATCTCCACTCCCTCTGCAGCCAGCAGTCCTACACAGAGAACAATCAAAGAGAGAGAATAGGTGTGATTTTAAAGAAAGTTATAACTCAAAACCAACTTTCATCCAAATGGAAAGTCACAAAGCAACATTGGACAAACAGCAGTTTGTGCTTTATTTTGACAAAATGATTGCAACAGTCACTGCAAAATAACCATTAAACCACTTGATCACCTAAATCTCCCCTTCGATTTCTTTAAAGTGAGATACATTTTGTCCACACTGTCTGAAAACATCACATACAATACTCTGGATCTTCCTGTTCCACTGAGGCGTGGTGTTGTACCATTTACTTCAATAAAAGTAGTCTTTGTTTATCTTGTCAAATCCAAAATTAGGGACATGTATTTATATTAAATTCAAGGACATTATATTTCATATTACTTTAGTTGCACAGTTGACAGGGTCCAAAATTAAAACCCACCAAGCACCAAACTGCGGGTAACTTTTGGGTTTGGCAGAAACATGAACTGGGGTCACCGGCCAGATGGTCAGCAGGTAATTGCTCACTGCATAATAAATAATAAATCACTGCAAAGGGCCAGATTTACATCGCTTTTTAATGTGTACCGACTGAGACTAATGTGATCTTCACTGTGCACCGTATCTATCATGACATAAGCAAATCAAAGCAGCTTTTTTACTATTCAGTGCTTTCCACACATGTCAGTCTACGTTTTTTCTGTAAGCAACATTTCATGTTATTAGAAATGTGCCGACAATTTCCCGGTGTTAAGCCACCAAAAGAAAATTTGGAGACAAAGTGAAAAATGAAGAGAAAATCATGGAGGTTGGGGAGTTTTTGCACAAGATGGCGTGTGATGCAGTTTTATGGCTGGTAACTTCGCTCAGTTTACCTGCCATTTGGACTCGGACAGCTGAGAATATATATATATTCTTCCTACAGTATCAATATTCGATTAAATGGCTCAACAAATATTCTGGTGCACAGAGGGTCAAAAATAAGAACAGTTGAATTTTGATGCATTAAAGTTTGTTAACTTTGTCTCAAAAGAAAGCAAAATGGATTATTTAAACAAATATTTACCCTGATTTCTCCTGTATTATACAGAACATGACGAGGATTTGTCGAGGATTTATTATTTTTTTTCTAGACATTAGGTCTGAAAGTCTGATGGTAAAAATGATTAACAATGCTTATTTGACTTTGTGAGGTCCATGCAGCCTGGGCATAGCTGTGTGTTTAACACAATCATGAAAACTTTATTCATTCATACTTCACACACTTTAATTGAATGTAATGGTGCACCTTCATAAATGGCATCTCGTTTTAAAGCAGGTCTATTGACACTGTACAATGGTTTTCTGTTGGTTTTCCTGTGGAACATTTTGAGGTTTGAAGGAGGAGCTGAATCTCTGTTACAATGCGTGTGTTTCATATTTTACATAGCTGAAACTTTATATCAGTTAACATGTCAACAAATGTGTTTGCATGTCTGATCCATCCAGTGTGTGTTAATACAGAGACTGTAGCAAACAGTTATGACCTTAAAAAACTAAAACCAGCATTATATTGTTAACTTCCCCCTAAACTTTAGTGGGTAACTGCATTATTGTAAAGTGTCTCACCAGCCACTGAGGATAGGAGCTGAGGACTCGCAGAGGCCTTGAAGAACAGCAGATTTCCAGTGAGAGAGACCGGCTGTCTGAACACACTGTCACCCAGCTGCAGCAGGACTGGCACGCCACCTTGAACTGAACCACTGGCTTTGTAGCTGCAGTCGTTGGCCGTGAGCTCCACCTTGCACACATCACTGGCATTCCCGTCAGACACACAGTGGGTCTGGTTTACCTGAGCAGTCAATTCGCATAAATAAAAAGATTATCTTCTACAAACACTTGTTATTGTCATGTTGCATTTACCAGAATGAGACGATGTCGTACCGTGATTCCAGACTCCTTGGCTAGGCTCAGTACATTGATGAGATTCGGGCAAAAGCCAGACTCATGATTCAGCAGTCCGACCAGAACCGATGAGGTCATGTAACCAGTGGAAGACTTCATGCAATCCCCTGGGTTGAAGAAAGCATTACGTAGTGTTTACTTCCACTACAAGCAAGTAAAACATTGCAAAGCAAAACTGATGATTTCAGAAAAACAGCACAAGTGTATCTTCATAATTTACTACAATAGTTCGGCCTGTTTCACAATCATACCACCAGAGGGAGTAAAAACACGCCATTACAAATATTATCCTCCTAGGATATGATTCCCCCACCCCTTCAGGTCCCTGGTTACACAACTGGTTAGACCAGTAGTGTTACCTTGAGTCGTGATTTGAACACGGCTGAAAGGTTTCTTAGAAGTAGTGCATGACTGCAGTACAGCTCCGACAGCTTCTCCGAGTTTGATCAGTTGGTGAGACTCCTGGGAGAACGTGCTGGCCAAAACCTGTGCGTTTACCTAGAAAGGAAAAAAAAAAAAAAAAGAAGACGTGGAATCAAGAGTGCTTCTGTGAAGTGAATGAGATCATACATTTTTAAAACAGATGCTCCACATCTCACCATCTCAATATTGATACGTCGATTTCATTTTAATGGAAGGCTAAGAGACGAGACCCACATTACAGCCATGATGGGCACTCTCTCGCCTCAGACCATTTTCATTGTCCACTTAAAATGCTACGAGGTTTATAATTTATAACTACTTCTTATAAACATCCTCTTTACATATTCCTCATTAAAGGTGCCTTTTGTCGAGATATAAACTCGCTTATTCATTGAACTCGTCATAGAAATATACTGATGGAACTTGTGATGAGATTGTTTTTTCCAACTTCATAGCTGGAGTTTTTACCCATTAACGCACCCTTTAAAGAGGAGAGCAGCTGATCAAAATCATGTGATAACCTTTTGTAGTTACTTGGCTGTAATGAAAACATGGTTTTATTAGGACATACAGTAGAGTGACAGACGGTATGACACCAGGTAATCTATGATGAATCCAGTAGATAATGAAACACCTTGAATATAGAATTTGATCAGGGTCCAAAATTAAACACATGGAAACATAAATTGGCGTCACCAGCAAGGTGGCAAGTAAATAATTTGAGGACTATGAAGTGGAATTTGTATTTCTGTAAACTTGTTTGTTTCTCCATTTATCTCAGCTAAATCTCTCCTGACTGCTAACTATGGTACCTTATTGCTAGAAATGTTGTGGACATAAATTCTAACTTTAACCTAAAAAAGTTGTATGTAGTTTCTGCATTCATTTCTTTTTTTGCTTTGTAAACATGTGGACTGACAAGACCTCATGCTTACACAGGCTTCATGTAGTATGTTGCCGATACAGAACCGAGCTCACCTTATGTTGTACCAAAAAAAATAAACATTGTCATTAAAGTTAAGTGAAGCTTTGGCTCCAAATGTGTCATTACCATAATCCTGAAGTTCTGTTACCTACCTACATATGCTACAGTTCTAACCTTTTTACACATGAAGATCATTGTCCTTGTCTTAAGTAGAACTACTCAGCCAGTTAAAAAAAAAACAACAAAAAAAAAAACCCAACAGAAATTCCAAAATAGCCAAATGTCTATAGCTTGTACAATAGAAACAAGATGCTCTCGATTGCTCTCTCCTTTCATTTAATCAACTTCCATTTGACCTCTCCCCGATGTCAAGGCCTCCGCATCCATCTTTTCAAGTTATCAGCACTGCGTGTCACGGCTGAAGAAAGGCTGATTATCTGTGTGCATGTGCGCCTGTGTGTTTGTTTTTGTTTAACCTCCTTTATTTAACAGGACATTTTAGAGCCAAATTACTCAATGATTGTGGCAAAACCAAGAGGTCTTTAAAACATGGACATGGTATGTTCGTAAAAGAACAAATGCCACAGAGAGACAGAATTAGAAGAAATAAAATCCTAAATGCATGTGCAAGAATAGCACCACAACAATTTCGAAACAATGCATCAAGGCAAGACCACAAGGTTTGCATGATGGGCAACAAGGGACAGAAAAGAGAGAATTATGTTATGAATGACAGGAAAGGAGAAATTGGAAGGGAGAGAATTACTGTCAAAGAGAATATCTTTAATACCTCTAAATGCTTTTAAAATACTTGCATGCAGTATAACTGAGTTTTATAGATTTTCAAAATAAGTTTGACAGTTTTTCTGTGTATGAGCTCAGCATTGTGCTGTGGTGCCTCCACACAGGATGACACGCTCCTGTCGTATGACTGATAAGACCACAGGGGGACTGACCAAACCTTTCTGTCTGCCAGTGGGCTGAAAAGGCTCTGACTGACAGTGAGTCAGAGGGGTGGAAATCTTTAT